AAAAAAAAAAAAAAAAAAAAAAACAACGGGGGGGGGGGGGGGAAAAACAAAAACATAAGAAATAGGGGGGGGGGATACGTTTGACAAAGTGTAAGGGATGTGAAAGGGGGATGCGGGTGTTTCGGATCAGCTGTGCAGGCTGTGAATTCAGCACCAGAGGGGGGGAGGAGAAAGAGAGGAGAGCGGAGAGAGGGGGGGGGGAAGGACAGATCCCGACGCCGCAGCGCGCTGCACGACTCCGGGAGATTTCTTCAGCTTTCCATCAGCGCGCCAAGGTCAGTGTGAAAGGAGGCAAGATAAATAAATAAATAGATTACATATATGATGTGCTGGACACTGCTGCTTTTGCCTGCTGCTTGTTTCGATCGGAGGATTCACTCGACGTGAAGGGAGACGATTTTTTTTATTTATTTATTTATTTATTTTGAATTATTATTATTCCAGAGTCAAACTGGACGTCTGGACGCAGCCTGGATGTGCTCCTCATCTCCTTCCTAAATGTCTCCGTCTCCACCTCCCCCCTCCTCCTCCTACACCGCCACCTCTCGCTGATGCAGACTAGATTCGCAGCTCCTACATGTCTTGAAAGGCGGGAATGAATCGTTCGCGCTGAGAGGAAGAAAAAAAAACGGAGGGGGAAAAAATGCTGCTCTGGATCATCCTGCTGAATGCGGCTCTCTGCGTTGCCAGCGGAAATGTCACCAGGGAGGTTTGCAAGGAGAAGATCTGCTCCTGCAGCGAGGTGGAGGGCGACCTGCATGTCGACTGCGAGAAACGGCACTTCAACACGCTGCGGCACCTGACCGGCCCCAGCTCTCACTTCTACCACCTGCTGCTGCACGGCAACTCTCTGTCCAGGCTCTTCCCCAATGAGTTCGCCAACTTCTACAATGCCGTGAGCCTGCACCTGGAGAACAACGGCCTGCACGACATCGTGCCCGGCGCCTTCCTGGGGCTGCAGTTGGTCAAGAGACTCCACATCAGCAACAACAAGATGCGGTCGTTCAAGAAAAGCACCTTCCTGGGCTTGGACGACTTGGAGTACCTCCAGGCGGACTTTAATTTGCTGAGGGACATCGACCCGGCTGTTTTCAGGGACCTAAACAAACTGGAGGTGTTGATACTGAATGACAACCTAATCAGTGCTCTACCTATAAACGTGTTCCAGCACGTGCCCATCACGCATCTTGATCTGAGGGGGAATCGGATCAAGACGTTGCCTTACGAGGGGATTCTCGAGCAAATACCTGGTATCGCAGAAGTGCTGCTAGAGGACAATCCGTGGGACTGTAACTGTGAGCTACTGTCCCTGAAGGAGTGGCTGGACAACATACCACGCAATGCCCTCATTGGGAGGGTGGTCTGTGAGGCCCCCACCAGGCTGCAGGGCAATGACCTGAATGAGACCTCGGAGGCAGAGCTGTGTCCATCACAGAGTGGGGGTGGAGATAGCAGCCTGGCTGCCCCTCCCACTCAGGAGGAAACCTCTCGCCCCACGCCTTACAAGCCCAGCAGGAATGGTGGAGGAGGGCCCCCGACACCTGGAGCAAATGGCTCCAAGAGCCACTCCAAGTCCCCCGAGAACTGGCAGCTAAAAACAAAGCCCCCTCCAGTAATGGCTGGGGCAGATGTGAATGGGGACGGCGGCGGAGAGCAGCTGCGCAACGTGACATGCCCACAGCCATGCAGCTGCAAGCTGGTGGGCTCCAGACAGGGGCTGGGAGTCAACTGCGAGGGCAAAAA